AACTTGAAACTAAAAGATTTAGAGATGTTTGGGTGAGCAGTCCATGGATCGGATTGTGATGAGCTTTCTCTTCCATCTGTACAGATTGATGTGTTTGTAAGGTGCTGACAAGAAACTGAGCAGATTAATTTAAACTGAGAGGATGGTCATAGAGTTCCATAGTACTGTTGCAAAGTAGATGGAAAGTAACTTATAATGGTCATGAATATTTTCTATGTGAAAAAGACCTTTGTACTTGATAGTTAAACTGAAGGAGTTACTTTGTCTTTGTGTGGAGGGAATAGTTTATGTGACAGGAACATAAGAAACTATAGTAATGTTATATACTGTTGCAAGATGAAAATGGTAAAATTGATCATTAAAATGTTAGTTACCTAGTCCTAGTAATACGGAGAAAAGAAAAATTATTGCATTTGCTCACACACATCCCCTGGACCTGCATGTCAGGTTCTGTGTTAAGTAGCCCTACAGAAAACATACAAAGAAAGCAGCAGCAGAGAGACAGAAGATACGCTTACTCCTCTGATACAGGTAATTCATTTTGGTCATCTTTTTATTTATGTGGCAGAAGCCAATAGCAAGAAACTCTTTGCCCCAGTCAGTGTATCATTACTGGGATATCAGACCTCCTGCTCAGGGCTGCCATCCTCTTGGTTTGATTGATAACTACTTAATGGATCTTGGGAGGGTGGAGTGGGTTGGGAGGGAGGTGTGCTGTAAAGATCTTGAAGTACCAATAAGGATTTTTTTTTTTTTAATGTATTCTGCTGCCGTTTCCCTTGTCCTAAGTGTTGTTGGGTTGGGGGGGGGTTATGTGTTTGTTTTTTTTAATACAGTGTAAAGCATCAGGAGAGTTGAGGAGAAGTCAAGGAGAACTGCTCCCACTGAATGGGCAGCACTGCAAACGAACAGGTTTAGAAGAAGCCCTGTCATTCCTTACCTGTAAAGCAGCTTCAGAGTCATAAGGTAAATTCCTTGTTTGGCTGCTGTGTGCCTGGTTGGGATGAATAACTGTGCACCCACCAGCTGGGCCTTGAGCAGCTTGAGATGTTTAATTCTCATGTGGGTGAAATGAAAAGGTTTTGAGACTGCAGAAGGTGACATTTCGTGTTAATAACAGCTAAAAGATACATGGCAGTTCTCTAGCAACTTCTGTCTGAAGAGTTCCAGCATTTTGCTGGCTTACCAAATGACCTGGAAGGTAGTAAGTCTTTGTCTTCACAAGAAAGGAAGAGGTGGGGGAGTTTGCATATGACCTAAAAGACACACCACCTCTGTTGACTTCAGGGTAAATTATGAGTCAGTTGTGGCCTATGGCTTTTCCTCAGGGAAGCAGGGAAGGGGACAACTTCAGGCCTCTTGTCCTTCTTTATGAGCAGGTTGGCTGATGGGCTGCGCTGCCAACGGGAGGAGTTGGAGCAAGTGGTAGGTCTCCCTTTTGTTAAAGGTTGTGCACAGCTGCAGCCTCAGGCAGGTGTGAGCAGATACCAACCAGGTAAGTAACAGGCTAGGAGGGACTGTCACGGGAGCAGCTTGCTCTCTGCACAGGTTGTCAAATTCCTCTTGCTCCCAGGCTGCAAACTGGATTCACAGCAGCACTTCCCAGCAGCCTGCTGAGGATGTGCTCTGAGCTGCCTCTCTACACATAGGCTCTCCACAGAGAGGTGTTTTTGCTTTCCTGGCAGCGTGTTCCTGTGCTCATGTGTGAGCTGTGCAAAACCTTGGCCTCCAAGGACCTTTTCTTTTTAAGAAGAGCAGCCCAAGGAGACTAATATTTCAGCTCGGTTTCCTAGGGAAGCAGGAGCTGTCTGATTTGTCTGGTGCTGTGTGTATCAGCCTGTCTTTCCCCTTTCAGTGCCTGTTTGGAACTTACGATCTCATTTCAGATGGTTCATGGGGAGAGATGGCTCACAGAACATTATGTTTCTACAAGTCTTGCAAGAAATCAGTACCCAGGATGAGAGAGACCTTGGTAGGGCTCTTGCGGGAGAGGCTCCAGTGTGCATATAGGAAGTAGGCTTAGTGCTTTGGTTGCTCACTGAATTATTCACATTTGGGCTTGTTACAAATTAAAAGCTGTTATGGTGAAGTAGGAAGAACTGATGGATGCAACACAAGATTGATTGCTGAAGAGCTGTGATTTTGAGGCCTTGTAGCTTTGTCGCCTCAGTTCCCCCCTCTATCAAAATCTACATCTGTCTACAATTAATTTATGGAAAATTATATTTTAAATTACAATTTCAATTTGGAAAAATTCGAGAGGAGTGATTCAGCACTCCTGGCTAAGAAGCTAAAGGCTGAGAACACATTTGAGAGTTTCCCAGAAGCTTTCCTGTAGAAGAGGCAAAACCAAAGCATTTGGCTTTTTTATACACGGGAGAACCAAAGTGTGTGGTCTGGTGTGCTCTTTCCCTTCAGGTTGTAAGGGGGGATATCTTTAAGCTGTGAAATTTGAAAGATCCATGACACTTTTTTACTTCAGGAAGTTGATTTCCTTTATTAATGCCTGTTCGTAACGCTCTGTGAATGAGGACTCTCCACAGTGTTAATTAAAATGATGTGGAGTTTCCTCTGTCTTGCCAATCTCTCATGAAGTTTCTCCGTTTTCTTCCTTTTACCCTCCTCAGAAAAATCACTATTCTTTTAATGAAAATGAACTAGAAAGTAGGGAGACCAACACTGTAATTGTTTAGATTGAAATGGTTCCCTGGCATGCAAAACTGGGCAGATCGTGAAGGATCCTGGAGCACTTTTTCTTGAATCCCCTGCACCTGGAGTCATATGATTACCTGAGAGCCCAAGTGCTGGCTTTTAAAATACATATTTCTGCACTGCGATAGCAAGAGAAATGGGAAAGCAGGAATATAAAGCCCCCAAAACACAAGGGCTGATGAAAAACTAAATTAATTCTTTCTTAGTATCAGTATAGGTTTAAAAAAAAAAATTCTTAGGAAGCTGATGCATTGGTTTAGATGTTTTAGGTTGGCAGTTGATGTACGTGTCCTAAATTTCCAACCTATACCAAGTCTTAGAAACAAAAGTATATTCAAAAGCATGTAACCTATGTGATAGCAAAGCACTATTTCTAGATAGCCAGGTCACCTACAAATACTATATGAGTAATACATGGAATATATGGTACTACACTTGTTTCTTTTTAGATTTCCTATTTTATGTTTCCTGTCTTCAGGTATGTTTCATAAACTTTATTTTCAGCAAAAAATCTGTTATCATTAATCTCAGCTGAAATTTTCTTACTGAATGGCTGAATTAAGGATAAAGAATATATCAGTAGAGCTTCACAGTGCACACATCTTCCCCAGCTGTAATTTTGGATGCTGCAATCTTTTTTTTTTTTTTTTAGCACAAG